TTTTTTTTTTTTTTTTAAATTGTGGTAAAAAAAAAAATACGTAACATAAATTTCTCATCTTAACCATTTTTAAGTGGATGGTTCAGTAGTGTTAAGCACGTTCACACTGTCGTGAAACAAAACTCTTCGTGTTGGGAATCTAAAAACTCCATACCCACTTGACAGTAACACCCATTCCCAGCCCCTGGCAACCTCCATTGGACTTTCTGTCGATGCATCTGACGTCGCTGGGTGCTCCATATAAGCGGAGTCTACGGCATCTGTCCTCTGTGACTGGCTCGTGTCCCTCAGCTGAATGTCCTCCTGGCTCATCTGTATGTACCGAGTGTCTGAATCGACTTCCTTTATAAGGTTCCCTCCTGACTCCTGATCTTACCGGGGCCTCATCCGGTTCTGAAGGGGTGAAACAGTCCTCATCTATATCTTGAGGGCGATGAGCCAATCCCCCTGGCTTCCATCTCAAATTGGCACAGACCGGAATCCAGGGTTGCGGACTGTGCCAGAAAAGAGAGGGGAAACCCCACAGATCTGAAGCTGAGGGAAGTAGAGCCAAGTTCCTGCAGAACGAGCTCTTAGCTTGGCTTTTCTACCATCGTGTGTTCTAGGCCCCTGTCGAGGCTCAGCTACAGGAAGCAGCAGAGTGATTCAGGAGCAGCCGAGGGCGTAGGGCATCCTCGTGGCCTCGTATAAATAAATACACAGATCCCAAAATAAATCGCCTCCTCAGGCCACCACAGGTGCCTGAGAGTCACCAGCAGAAAGAAGCAAAATTTCATCGGCGGCTGACGGCGGACGAATCCGGTGTGACAGCCGGGCACCACAGCATCTCGTCCCCTCCCCTTCCTGCGATGGCCGTGTCCTCCAAATTTGTGGCCCCGGGTCCCCCTCTGCCCAGTCCTGCGTCCTTCCCTTCTCCGGGTGATGTAGATCCTGAGAGGAAGCCTCCCACCTTCGCCCTGCTAATCTCCATCTAGAGTCAGCCCCCCAGGGCCCTGGCCGGCACACTCCATCACCCTGGGCAGGAAGGACCTGGTCACCAGCCCCACCCTGTGAGCGCACCGGCCGGCTCCTCGCCTTCCATCCCTATCAGGACGCAGGGGCCTGCACCAGTCAGGAGAGAAAGCTCTAGAACCAGGCGGCCAGGTTGGGAATCTGGACTCTGCCACTTACGAGCTCTCTGACTTCGGCCAGTTCTCTCCGCCTATTTCCTCTGCTTTAGTAACGGAGGTGAGAATAACCTCACTGGGGTGAGCTGAGAGCTTGACACAGTGCTTGCCCCATGGCGAGAGCTCGGTCTTAGCAATTACATAGGGCGTCCACGCTTCTAAGCTAACATGCTCTCAGAAGGAAAAACTCGAAGAAACAAATGATACTTGGCCCAGGAAACTGCCAGGAATGGAATCCAGCTCTGGGGTGGCAAAGTTATCCAACGCATCAGCACTGACCTAGACTTTGTTGGGGACATCCATGGGATGTCTCCGTCAAGGGCCTGAATTTGCTGCTGGTTACAAAGCCAGAAAGGAGAATCACTCAGGAGGGACAAGCAGAGTCATCCTGTGAGACCCCCTGCCTTTCTGAAACCTTAGGAAGGAAACGGAATCAAATGGAACTTTCCTCTCTGGCTGAGAAACCAGGTCTCTCTTAGGGTAACACCTCTAGTGCTCGGTGCTGTTGGAACCTCCCCAACACTTTCCTGCTTCCCCCACGTCCCTCAGTGCTGCCCCGGAGGAGGGAGCCTCGCATTTATCAGTTACCTGATGTCCCACACTCTGAAAGAGGCGGACAAGCCAACCTATGTATCTCATTTAATCCACCCAGTAGCTCCAACGGGTGGGCTTCCTTTTGCCAGTAAGGGAACCAATTTTGATCCTCTAAGGGTAAGGAGCTTAGCCCACAATAAGCCACAGAGCTGGCTCTGAGCTCCCCCAGCCCCACCCCAGAGCCCAGACTCCATCAACCATGCCTCAGTGTCTCTAGGTGTTCGCTCTTCTGGGCAGGCTCTAGCCACACCGTGCCGCCAATCCCCAATTTCTGTCCCTGCAACAATGAACACCTGTCCCTCGTTCCATAACACTGTGCACCCCAATCCCTACTCCTGAAATACCTTATACCCTGATCTCTGCTCCCACAATGCAATGCACTCCACCTCTGCTTTCTCAAACCCTGCCTGCACGGGTGGCCAATACCACCCCGTCTGGACCTCCAGTGTTCTTGGGTTGCCTTGGGTGTGTTCACTGCTTTCCCAGGGCACAGGAATCGTGTATATCCCAGGGGGTCCGCACAGCCACCCGGGAGGGGTACGCATGGCCGTGCAGCTCAACACGAGTGGTCTAGACTGTACCCGGAGCTGACCCACCTTTGTCGGGGAAGCCGGACTTGGGGGCCTTCCGGTCCTTCAGCAGGGCTTTGGTGTTCTGAATGTGCGTGATGAGCGAGGCCGAGGGCTGTTTGTGGGAGGGGAGGTTCCTGTCCAGCTTCTTGGAAAACGGCCGATGAAGAAAATCCCCTCTCTTTTCTTGTTCTTTGGGTTTTTCATCCTTCAAGTCAGAAGTAAACACATGTACTCAGACACACAGACATATACAACGTGACTCCCCTTTGAAGAGTTATCCAAGTGGATTTGAGAAACCCCAGCCTCTCAAAACTCCGTTCTCAGCTGCACGTTGAACAAGGGAGGAGCAGAGGCCCAGCAGATGCCCCAGGGAACCCACCTCCCTCTCCCTGGGCCACAAGCAGGCTTCTGTCATCCCCAGCTCCCCGCACGGCCCTATTTCAAGGTGTTCCAGCAAGGGCAAGTTCGTCCCTAGGAGGTCAATTGTTCTAGAACAAGATGAAGGAACTGAGGCAAAACACATGAGGATTTCTGGAAGTCTGTGGTCTTACTCAGAATAGGGCTCTAGGATTCTGCTCACAGCAGTGGTTTTGCAAAGGTAACTTCGCAAATGAAACATAACCATTTCTATCTTAACGTTTACTCTTGTGTGTTCAGTCAGGCCAAGGAGGTGGACGGCAACCCCAGGAGCCCTGTGCCATCCTGGGTGAGTTTCTGACCCTTTTCCGCCCTCGGTCATGCAAGCCCTTGCTTGCGTCACTATGTGTCACTTGTGTCCCTCTGACTGGAGTGAATTTTACTATTTTATGTATCTTCAACCCCACAGCCTCTGGCATAAAGCCAAGCACATAGAGAAGACTTAATAGTTATTGAAATGTAAAAAAAAAAAAAAAAAAAAAAAAAAAAAAAAAAAAAAAAAAAAAAGCCAGTAGAAACCAAACTGAATTAAAATTGCGTTCCAGCTTCTGGGAAGGGCGATACCACTCAGAAGTTTCTTCTCCAGCCGTAAAGACTTTGATGTTTACTGTTCAACAGATTCAACCGCATCCCTGACCTCACCACCAGATTCACGGTTTTTGCCTTAAACGTGAAGAATATTTACAATTCAAGAGAGCTCATCAGCTCCTCATTGATGTTGTTGAACAGCTTCTCCAGGAAGCTTCTCCTTGGGCTCGCACAGCCCCTTCCAATGGGGATTTTCAAAGCCTGTCCAGATGGGGGTTCCTGATGCCCAATCGGCGGGTGGGAGAAAACGGCAGGGGAGGAATGGGAAGTGGGGGTGCCACGCCAACCCTGAGGGTCACCGTGAGGGCCCCAGTGCCTTAGGGTTCCAAGCCTGGGCTGCCGTGGCCATCCCCAGTGGAGGGCTGAGGAGGGAAGAGAGGAGGGGTGAAGCTTCACAAACTCCCTCCCCAGCATCTGAAGAGCCTTTTACGGGACGTCGAGTGCCAGGTGCTGCACTGAGAGCATGACCTGGGACAAAGCACAGCTGTCACCCCATCACGGACCAGCGAACAGCCGGAAGCGGGTTGAATAATTCATCTGGGAGCCGAGTGAAAACTCACGCCCTCTGGAAGCCTGGGGCAGGATGAGTCTGGGGCAGAGAGAAAGGCAGACACACAGGCCGGTGAGGGACAGGGACCAGGCTGTAGTCCCAGGGTTCCAGGTGGGCATCCGGGATTCTCGGGAGGAGGCTTGAGCCCCAGGTCATTAGGCAGAATGCTACGAACGGGAAAGGGGGCCACCTGCTCCAGACCATCTGGGTCAAGGCCGCATCCCTCTTCTGGTTTCTGTGACCCCCCAACAGCCCCCTTCTCTAAGGCAAAGGGGAACGAGCTGTCACACTTCCCTTGTGCCCCAAGCATCGAAGGGACGTAACAGGCTTGTCCTGAAAAGTCTGGCAAAATCTCTTCCTCTGGTGCTATTCTTCCTGTCTCTGCTCTAATGAGAAAAATCACCAGTTCCACCTGTTTACACTTTAAATGGTAAAAAAGAAACTGAATGCACTTCTACGAAACCACGTAAAACAGTGTTTGGAAGAAAAGTCAAAATTGCAGATCCCCCCCCCACCCTTTTCAGGATTGTTTTCTAGAATAGTGAGTACAGGGGCGCCTGGGTGGCTCAGTCAGTTGAGCGTCTGACTTTGGCTCAGGCCGTGATCTCATGGTTCGTGAGTTCAAGCCCCGTGTTGGTCCCTGTGCTGACAGCTCAGAGCCTGGAGCCTGCTTCCGATTCCATGTCCCCCCTGCCCTCTGCCCCTTCCCCACTCACATTCCGTCTCTCGCTCTCTTTCTCTCTCAAATAAACATTTAAAAAAGAGAAAGAATGACGAGTACAGCTTCCTTTGGGGTGCTCCGTGATCCCTACACTTTAGAGGAAGCTGCTCTGCCTTTGGCTTCATGGCTTCATCTTGGCCCCTCCCCAACTCTCTTTGGGTTCTCCAAAGCCAAAGGATCAAGATGCAAAGTTTCTGGGGGGCCAGCATCACCACCTAGCTAGAGTTCATCAGCACTGAGAGGTGTACAGGACATGAATTCCCTATAGCAAGAGCCCAAGGTTGGCTCTAAAAAACCTCTCTGGGAACTGACAAAGGGATAGCACCAAACAGCCTGCTATGGGGGCAGAGGGATGGGGAAATGACCTCAGGAACCCTGCTGGAGCCACCCTGTTGAACTTCATCCCAGGATCCTACACCCGGGTGTTTTCTCCAAAAGCTCCCAGAACACCCTTGTCCAGCCCAAAGAATGGGTGATTTCACAGTTACCAGTTTGTTAGGGGCATGCCAAGAATCCACCACCCAAGAGACCCCTGCCGGGGACACACGGCTGGATCAGTCCGTGTGGATGGGTCACCAGCCCACACAAGACATGTGTTTGTACAACCAGCCAATCTCAGCGCCCTCCAGGCACAGGTGACCAAATGCAACCCATCATCCCATTATACCTTTTCATTTGCATACCCTATTTTCTCCACAAGAGATCTTCCAGGGAGCAGGATGCTAAAGCACCTTATGTAACAGAAACAGATCTTCAGAGGGACTCATTATATTCCCCCTTCGATGTGCCTACACCCACTCCCGTGCTCCCCTCCCAGCAATCCGGCTGCCTGCACGGTCTCTTTGGCTTTCTTCTGAGTCTCATGTGCTCCCCACACCCACCCCGCCTCCCAAACTCCCCAACGCAGATCGGAGAGGGGGCCACATGAGGCCCCAGAAGCCAGCCCCACACAAAACGGCTTCCGGTTTTTTTAAAACCACTTTCTACCCACTGCACATGTGCACGGACATTTACTAAACCGGACACTTTGAAAATGTGGCCTCAGGGCACCCAGGTGGCTCAGGTTAAGCATCCGACTTCGGCTCAGGCCATGATCTCGCGGTTTGTGAGTTCGAGCCCCGCATCGGGTTCTGTGCTGACAGCTCAGAGCCTGGAGCCTGCTTCAGATTCTGGGTCTCCCTCTCCCCTGCTTGTGCTGTCTCTGTCTCTCTCTCTCTCTCTCAAAAATAAATAGACATTAAAAAAACAAAAAAAATGTGGCCTCACAAAGGTTTGTCTACTCAAGACTCTTACAGTGTCACAACTGTTTGATAGAAGAGAGGAAGAAGCCAGGGAGTGGTGGTGCATGGGGCTTTCTGGAGAAAAGTAGGTTCTTGGCCTCTGACATCTGAGCTCCAGAGCCGGTCCCTTTGGGCTCGTCCCTGTGACTCCAGCCTCCTGCGTTCCAAAGAGCGAGAGCCCTCCCCCTTCCTCCCCAGCTCTGCTCCTATAGATACAGCAGGCCCCTTGAGAGAAGTGTTTCCCCACCTGCAACCGAAAGTCAGCTCTTCAGGCATAAACATGAACCTCACATCTCATCTGCGTCACAGTCTGAAAGGCCAACACAGCCATTTAACAGGGACAGGGGCGGCCACACCTCCTCCCCACCCCGGGCTGCATAAGGGCTGCCTTGCACCCTCACGCGGTGGAAACTGACCACGGATGGCGTGATGCCGCAGCCAAGAGCCTGGGGTCTGCAGGTGAGCTGAAGCTGTTTTCTTTGGATGATAGTCTAGCTTAGCACGGGCTCTTCTGGAGCCTGCTGTCCCCTTGCTGACGAGCTAACCTCATGTGACTGTTTGGAACGTTAGAATCAAGTGTGGATCGTGAATACCTGGGGCGGCCCAGGTGCCCAGGCATTGCCTGCCGGTTGCTTTGGAAAAGCCACAGAGACCTGATTTTGCCACGGGAAAAACACAACGCAGCTGAGAAAAAGAGGACTTCGTTCATAAATTAGGCCACTGAGGTGGGAAGCTCTGGACTGCTGCAAACCCCACTTCTCATATAGGTAAAAACATGAATGCACAGCCCAGTGTGCAGTGACAGCAAGACAATTAAAAATGGTCAACAAAGAAAGCACCAGTCTGATCTGAAGGGATTCTGATAAACCCACTCACCATTGGACTCTGCGTTTTAATTCAGGACAAGGAAGGAGGTATGTAGAATCCAGAGCCCTAAGCAGAGATCCACCAGCCCTCAGGGTCACATGTGATGGTTCATTTCAAGTGTCAACTTGACCAGGCCACAGTACCCAGTTTTTGGTCAAACAGCAATCTAGATGTTGCTGTGAAGGTATTTTTCACATGGGATTAAATTAGTAGGCTTTGAGTAAAGCAGATGACCCTCCACAAGGTGGGTGGGCCTCGTGCAATCAGGTGAAGGCTGTAAGAGAAAAAGTCTGAAGTGTCCTGAGAGAGAAGGAATTCTGCTTCCAGAAGGCCTTGGATTTTGAGCTGAAACATCCACTATTCCCTGGGTATCGAAGCATGAGACAGACAGACAGACACACACACACACACACACACACACACACACACACACACACACACACACTGTTGGTTCTCTCTAGAGAACTCAGAGTAACCCATCATAACTCCCATGTTCTTACCTGCACAGCATGGAATTCAAGGTCTCTTGTCCAGGTGTCCAGGGAGGCCTGTGAAAAGCAACATTTTCAACAATTTGAGTAGCTGTACCTGCTGTTTATTCCCTAAACTCTCTCTCCCCTACCACTTGCACCTCTGGGTTTGAGAATTATTCCTTTCAATGTTTAGAGACCAGAAACGAGACTCCTAAACCATCATGCAAGCGGGCAGCAGATGTCCTAATTCAGGCACTGAATAGATTTTCTAGGTGAGAAAATCTATTTTATTCAAGTCTAAGACATATAACGGAGGAGTGCTCTCAAGGCGACTGAGCTGCTCAGTCAACGCATTCTCTCCAAGAGCAAAAAACGTGCATGAGAGCTCCACCCGGATTAAGATACGGAGCCCAACCGGCCCCACCCGGAACCCCCTCCCCCCCATCCCTGCCCTCTCCCAGTCCCCAAAGGGAACTACCCTTGTCATTTCCAACAGCACTGATTGTCTAATCTGATTTCAAACTATTTTTACAAGCTGCACAGATGTGAAATAAGATACAAAGTGAACATTTTAATATTTTACCTTCTAGTTTACTGCCCCTCTTATGGGTGGAATCGTATTCCCCCCCAAACTGGTACCCAAGAGTCCTAACCCCCAGGAGCTCAGCACATGACCTTCTTTGAAGACAGGGTCACCACAGGCCTGTCGTGTCCCCTTTGATGCTTTGGAAGGGGGAGGAGCACATGGAAAGCTCACTCTCTCTTGCCTTTGGGGAGGGGGCCTGTTGGTGTTGCCTTTACAGAGGTAACCCAGCCCTCCTGCAATGGGTCTGGTATTCTCATAAAAGGGAGAAACTGGACACAGAGGCGCACACACAGAGAAGGCCAAGGGAAGGTACAGGCAGAGATCGGGTGGTGCTTCTTTCTATAAGCCAAGGAACGAAGCCCAAAGATGTCAGCAACCAGCAGCAGCCAGGAGGCAGGGGACAGGTTCTCCTCCACAGCCCGTGCAGGGAACCAACCTTGATCTCAGACTTCCGGCCTCCAGAACTGAGAGTCAGTGAAACTGCTGCTGTTGAAGCCCCCCATCCCACCCCACCCCCGGTGTGTGGCACTTTGCTCCAGCGGCTGGTCACACTGATGCCGTCCCTCTGCCGCCCTCCACACAGCTCTCTTCCAAGCCTGCCACGTTACCCTGTGCTACCCAGAAGCCCTCCCTGCTCTATTTTCCACTGCTCTACAAATTAACATTTTTGGGGAAAGACTGTAACACAAATGGCCTCTGGCTCTATGTGGCTTTAATAAGCCAGCTTAAAAATGATGACTGGCCCCCCTGCCTCGATCTCCACGGTCCTGAGGGCCTTTTTTTTTTTTTTTTTTTTTTTTTTTTTTTTTTTTAGGAAGAGGAGTCTCCGGGGCCCATGCTCGAGGTGCTCTTGGATGAGACACGTGTCCCACTTTCACAGACATATCTGCTACCCTTTAAAGGCAGAGGAGGTGGAGAACGTGGTAAAGTCGTACAATAACAGCACTGTAATCCCAAGGGGGACGTTCTTGCAACTTAATTCAGCTGCTTTGTCTCGGAGGAGAGAAAGAACTGGGACTCAGAACAACGCAGAGGCCTCGCTCACTCCCCAGCCAGCCTGCGCACGACCTGAAACCCATCCGCCTCTCGGCGGCTTCTCCAGGACCGGCCGACGGCAACTGGAAAGAAGCCCACGGAGGCTCTGAGTGGGCTTTACCTAGAAAACCGGGGCCCTTTCAGATCTTCTTAGCACTTTTCCGAGCTGGCCCCATTCCACTCTCTAGGTTCCAGCAGAGGCGGGCTGGATGATCCAGTAATAGCCCGTAATTTAATTAGCACAAGTATCACTGCCGTTTGGAGAAAACAAATGGATCACAGAGAAGTGAAATGCTCTTTTCCCATTAGTGTTCCTATTTAAACCCTAACCGTTAAATATTTCAACAAATGTTTAAAACGCTCTCCATGTGTTTTCAGGCCAAATGAGATAATCATCCAAGGAAAATAATCTGGGTGAAAGAAAAGGCCCCTTTCCCATCATAGACGCTTTCGAAACAAACAAGCACAGGGGTCAGGTTCGAGGGCAACCGAGGACATGGGCGTCAGCAAAGTGGAGTGGAGGCCACGTAGGGCACACAGATGGGACGCTGGGTGCATCTGTTCACATTGTTCCTTGAGGCCCTAAAGAGTCAAATGCAGATCCAGAGGCAAGGGAGCCTAGCCGTGAAATCTGCACTCTCTGCATGCCAGCCGAGGTGATAAGCCCTCAGAGCCCGTGACCGTGAGACGGCCCTCCCTGCTTCGGGGCATGGTCATCTGTAAGGATAACACGACTTGCACGCTATGCTCCAGGCGTTCCCCTGCTTTAGTCAAGCTAGCTGTCCTTCCTGGATCATTCCACCTTCTCCCCTTGGGAATCCAATTCTACCGGAGACCCCGGTCAAGGCCCACTTGATTCTTTCCTTTGTTCGTTTAGCAAATGCCAGGCATTGTGTAGACTCTAGGGATACTGTAAGGAGCAAAAGGGACACAGTCCCCGCTCTCATGGAACTCACAGTCCAGAGTGGGAGAAAGATGGGAATCCAACACTCCCTGAGCAAACAAAACATGCGCATGGGACAAACCCCGGGATGCAGAATGCGGGCGGGGGTGAGTCTGTGCTGGAGAGATGTGATCCGATGGCAAAGGTCAGAGAATGGCAGGGGTCCGGGATGAAATGACCCTGCCTTGGAATCTGAAGACATAAAATAGTAATCAGCAAAGAGAGCTGACGGGAACATTCTGGAAGAAGGGGCAGGGTGTGCATGGTGCTGGGAGCCAAGAGAGCACAGAAGTCTTAAGGCCTGCAGGAGCGAGCACGGAGCAAGAAGCAGGGCTGCGCGTGTGGGCCCGGGGGACGAGGCTCGAGAGGCCAGCAGACCACGGTCTAATCTGTGACGTGGTGGCCACGTCACCGACCGTGCCTTCCAGCTTAAGGAGGCATGCCTGGTGTGCACGAGGTGCTCAGTAAACATGTGCTAACTGGAGCAGGGAAGGGACGTGATTCCGTCTGAGCGCGGACGGCTCAGCTCCGGCTGGCGTGCGGAGAAGTGAGAGCCAGGCGTTCACGGAGAAGGGGGTAGACCAGTCAGGGCTGTGGCAGACATCCCCGCAAGAGGCAGAGGTGACAGTGGCTGGGATGGGGAAGGAGGAGAGAGACCAAGGTGGCGGAGGGGATCTGAGAGGTTGAGGAGTCACACTGGCAGAACTTGGGGACGGCCTGGCTCTGGGGGTGAAAAAGTACCTCCAGAGTTCCTGCCCCATACCGAGGGTGGGGCTGCCATTTGGAGACAGACACTGGGGGCTCCAGGCACGATGGATTGGAGACACCTTCCCTCACGCAAGAGGAAGCTGAGGAAGCAATTGGCCTGAAGGGTCTGGAGCTCAGGGCAGTGTGGTCCCGACATCACCTCCTGCCCTTGGCCTGAAAGCCAAGCATGACCCACCCCCCAAAGACTCCTCTGCATCCTCATCATGCAGGTGCCGGAGCCTGTCTCAGAGGCAGGAGGCCTCCAGGCCGGGGTCAAGGCTAAGCCCCACCCCAGCCATCCCTGGATTTCCGCCCAACTTCCCCCATCCTCACTCCTCCCCAACCCCAGCATCTTTCAGGCGGGGGGCCAACGTCACCCACAGAGAGGTCTACGCTCACTGTCTTCACTTCCCCTCCTCCTCCTCTTCCGGAACTCAGGCCGTCTCTTTCTGCCTTTCCCACTTCTGCCCAGCTGGTCTCTGTAAGGGCCCAGGACAACTAACTGCTCGGCCACCACCACTGACCACTTTGACCGCAGAAAAGGGAAGAGAGAAGTGGGCAGGCCCATCGGCCTCATGTAGGGCATGGAGGAAGGCTCCCTTTTGATTTCTGCTCAAAAGAAAAAACTGTTGGGGCACACGGCAGAGGTTGCGAAGGGGAAATCAAGTGGGTTCCCAGGAAGATCACGGAGAAGGCTGAGGGGTCGCATTTGACAAAGTATTGCATGAAGAGTCCTGGGCGTTGGGGGTGGGGGGACACCCTCATCCTGTGCCCCTGGCCCTGGATCCAGATTCCCAGGCACAGTCTCTTCCCAAGCACATATTTGGGGTCCAAATTTGGTACAACTTGCCAAATGATACTGCTTATTTTTAAAAAAAATTTTTTTAATATTTGTTTTTGACACAGAGAGACAGACAGAGAGACAGACAGACAGACAGAGCATGAGCGAGGGAGGTGGGGAGACAGAGGGAGACACAGAATCCGAAGCAGGCTCCACGTTCTGAGCTGTCAGCACAGAGCCCGACACGGGGCTCGAACTCACAGACCGCGAGATCATGACCTGAGCCGAAGTCAGACGCTTGACCGACTGAGCCACCCAGGCGCCCCGTGATACTACTTTGTACTCTGAAATCAAAGGATCTTGGTATTTTAAGTATGTATCTAGCATCAAGTTGTCCTAGGATGCCCAGAAATACTTGTTTTCATCCAAAACTTTTTCCTGTCCCTCATTTTACTGCCTCCTTCTGATGCCAAGCGTTACACTCATGTACGGTTTTGAGCATCTCATTTTTACCTTTCGAAGGACTGGCAGTGGTTTCCAACCTTGGCCACTCCATGGAATCTGCCAGGGAGCTTTAAAAACTACTAACACGCGCCCACTTTCCCATTCCTGCCCCATGAGTTTCAGGAGAATTATGTGAGGTGCAATCTGGGCATCCAGATGTTTACATGTTTATATATGTATTATATATTTTTTAATGTTTGTTTATTTTTGAGAGAGACAGAGACAGAGAGTGAGCGGGGGAGGGGCAGAGAGAGAGGGAGACACAGAATCCGAAGCAGGCTCCGGGCTCCGAGCTGTCCGCCCAGAGCCTGACTCGGGGCTCGAACCCATGAACCACGAGATCACGACCCAAGCCAAGTCAGACGCTTAACAGGCTGAGCCACCCAGGCGCCCCTCCCCCGGCGACTCGACCGTGTAGCCACAGCTAAGAGCCACAGTCTAACAACTGAGAGACAGTGGCTCGGCCATAACCATTGTTTCGGGGACCCAGTTAAGTGACTATTTGTCTCTTGCTGCTTTTCTGTCCCACAATAACCGGTTTCCTTTCCACTTTGCTCTCAAAATGGAAACCCGCTCTTCCTAAGCGATCCTGGATTTCATTTTGGAGGGGGTCACTCACCTCATAGGGCTCCTTGCTGGGCCTGCACTTCTCTATCTGGTAGAGCTGGGTCTTGTAGCAAACGCTGTCCTGGATGTCAGATTTCTATCCGAGGAGAAAGGCGGGGAAAAAGCATGGCTTAACTCACAGGAAATAGAAGTGTCCATTAAGCAGTCATTAATTTTGAAACCAGCACTTGGCTGAGAAAGTGCCGAAAGTGGTTGGCAAGCCAGGTAATCGCAATGCAAAGCCTCGTTGGAGGGTGGCCTGCAGGCATGATGCAGCGAGGGGACAGCCCCGGACCCAGAGTCGGGCAACCTACTTCTGTTATGGCTCTGCCAGGACAGGGCCAGGTGACCCTGGGCACGTCACTGCTCCTTGCTGGCCTCAGTTCTTTCATCTGTACGATGAAGACTACTCTGAGATGTGAAAGCAGAAACCAGATACGTGAGCTCGAAAGAGTAACTCATTTTATTGACCTACCAAACAAGATACAGATCTTGCTTATTTCCTTAGTGAAAAACAGCCCACATCCCTGCCCTCCCCTGCCCAGTGAGCCACAGCAATTCATAACACAGCTTACAGATGACAGAAAACCGTATCTAGGATGATCTAGGTGCACGACTGAGGTGCCGGCCTGTGTGGAGAAAGGTGAATTAAATGACTGATGTGTCTACCAACCAACAAAGAGTCACGGAACAGCCTTCCAGGCTCTCCAACACAGAATCCACGCTTCTTGGTTTTAGAAACAGAAAACAAGAAAGAAGAGAGAAAGGGAGGAATGACAGATAAGATAGGTATTTTACTTGTCAGTTCACGAGTTTCGGTCTTAAAATTATACGTGGGTTGTCAGTAATTGGTTGATGAGATTAATAGCTGGGACAGTGCACACAGGGCAGTTAAATTAGCCGTGTGTGGAAATTACTGAGCGGACCGGCTGTAGCTGTCTGTGGGGATTAATTCACCCTAGTTAAAAGCAGCCACTCGCCCAGACCCTAGTTCTCAAGACCAGGTACGTCCTAGGCTTTAAGGGTTAAGTGTGAAACAGACACAATAAAATAACCTTCTCCAGCTGGAACTACATTAGCTGAGTTTCCAGGGAACGTTCTCAGCAGACAAAGCCGTGCTCAGCTTTGCAAGACTTGCACGCAACCTTTATGCCGATGCTCAGGCCGGGCAGAGAGGAGGTGCCGAAACCAGCAGATGGGAAGAAGCAAAGACAAATTAAGACACAGCCTGAGAGCTTCAGGGATTGCTCAGGAAGAGCGTGAGTAACCAAAGTTCGTATCTGTAGCTGTGAAGGCAGAACAGAGGAAGGAAAGTATTTGAAAAACTAAAGTTCCTTGGGGCGCCTGGCTGGTTCAGTTGGTGGAATGTGTGGCTCCTGATCTCGTGGTTGTGAGTTCGAGCCCCGCGGTGGGTGTAGCAATTACTTAAAAACAAAATCTTTAAAAAACAAAACAAAAAACCCCTAAAGTCCCCGCACATTATCGATCGGCATCCAAAGAAGTTCTGCCAAAAGAATGTTTGCTTAGGAAAGTAGTAACTTTTCCTTTAAACATGAAATTGTGAATTTTATAGTCAGTTTCAGCGGAGGCACTTTTTAAAAACTAATTTTTGAGTAACAGTCATCATTTGAGAAAAAAATCAGTGCATTGATCCTCTTTCCTTCCTTTTAGTTGACAGCCATTTAAACTCTTGGGGCACCCGGATGGCTCAGTCGGTTATGCATCCGACTTCAGTTCAGGTCACGATCTCACAGTCCGTGGGTTCGAGCCCTGCGTCGGGCTCTGGGCTGACAGCTCAGAGCCTGGAACCTGCTTCAGATCCTGTGTCTCCCTCTCTCTCTGTCCCTCCCCTGCTCACACTCTGTCTCTCTGTCCTTCAAAAATAAATAAACATTAAAAAAAAAAATTTAAAAAATAAAAACAAAAAAATAAGTTCTTAACTACTGTTTTCTACCACAGTTGTCCCCAAATGGTGTGACCTTGAACCCATATGAGTGGACAAAGGTATAGGAAGGGACCTATAATATATGCATATTTGTTTATAAATTATAAGCATGCACCTCTGTACTAACATATCATGTACATCATAAAACATATAACCAAATAGGGATTTAAAAAGATAAGAAATTGGGGCGCCTGGGTGGCTCAATCAGTTGGGCATCCGACTTTGGCTCAGGTCATGATCTCATGGTTCGTGGGTTCGAGCCCCGCGTCGGGCTCTGTGCTGACAGCTCAGAGCCTGGAGCCTGTTTCAGATTCTGTGTCTCCCTCTCTCTCTGCCCCTCCCCTGTTCACGCTCTGTCTCTGTCTCAAAAATAAATAAACATGAAAAAAAATTATAAAAAGATAAGAAAGAAACAGGGGCATGTGGTCTTCTTATAAAAGGGAAATGAGAAGTAGCTTCAAGTCCAATTATCTTTAAGTTCATCATCATGGTGGGACAGAGAACCTGGGCACAGTACAAGAGATGCTCCTAATCATTCCTTATAATAAAATGATATAAAATATATACTGTGTCAAAGGTCCTGTCTTTCTGGCCTCAAATTCCTCTCCCGCGAGGGAGACCTCTCCTGTGACCGTGACACCATCCCTCACATCCAGTATCAAAGCTGCAGATTTGTCCCCATCAGAAGTATCATCCCAGCAGGGCTTACATGGGACATGTATTTGCCATCCCACCCCCCCAATAAAACACTGTTGTTATTTTCAAAAGCCTCTTATTTGTTCAGAATGTTTCTTCTCGAGTACAATTTTTCCTCTGGTGGTTCACCCAAAAAGTACTTCTGTGGATAATTTCCCACTGGAGCAAAATCTAGCAAATTCCCTAAGCTGACTCAGCTTAGAAACACCTGCACTCTCATCCAACTGTTCAACAAACCTCCCAAAGAGCCTCTGCGTCTATTCAGCAATGTTTTGTAGACATCTCCCAAATCCATTTGCTAAAGAGACACACTCTGACCATCTCGCCTTCTGGGCCTTATTGTGTGGTCATTTCTGCCAGACAGGGAGAATATCGTTTCCCCAACTGTAGGTGGATTTTCATTTTAGCTCTAATCTAGAAACCTCACAAAAGGTTTCTAAGCCTTTTGCGAGATACTGGGTTGACTCTCACATGGCTTTAAATAGCACTGAAAATGCTCTAGAAGTTCTTCATGTTCTGTTTTCTACATGTGTTCCTAACACTGACAGCCCCACACCATCAGATCTCAGGGCACCACATACACAGGGTGATGGTCACCCTTCGTGACCGTGGATCTGAAATCAAATTTCCGACAGGCTTCCTGACAATTCTCAATCTCTGTAGCAGGCTGACCTCCCGTCAGAACTGGTCAGCCTCCTCTATTCGGAGTAGGAGAAACAGGAGTGGTTTGCAGAATTCTTTTTAAGTGGAGAGAGGATTTAGTCAGAAGCAGACACTGAAGCATGTCAATTCCTTCCCCAGGCGCACATGAACTGCGTGTGGCGGAAGACCAAAGGCGACCGACGCATGAGGGTACCACCGTCCACCCCACCCTAGGCTGCAAGACTCCCACGCTTCCTCCCGTGGGACACAGGACACCTGTGCTTTGTCACCCAGACTGAAGGCACCGGGGTCAAGCCAGTAAAGCTCAATTTCATTTTCACCTTCTGGAGAAGTACCAATAAGTAATGCCTTCCTCATTAAATCATGCTTTCGAGATCAATGCCTGAGAGGCTCTGCTCCCCAACTTTTACGACCACAGAAATCCCCAATGCCTTTAACATGGGAACCCAAGGAGCTAAGAGGTAGGCAGAGAAGGCAACGGAGAAACTGAAGGGAAAAGAGGCTTGACTCTCTCACAGTGCTGCCCGGGGCTTAACTCCGAGGGAGGATATTTGAAAAATACCTCAGATAAAAAGCGCGAGCTACCTGAGAAGCAAGTTCAGCTACTATTTTATCCCACATTCAGAAACTCAGCCTTCCATTAGTTCAAATTAACAGCTTAGATCAAGTGTCAGCAACTGAGAAACACTCGAGGTATAAGAAGAGCTCCTTTTTCCACAGAGAGCAGAGAAAACAGCCACCAGGGCCCCACTCACCCCTGACAAATAGCGCTCGAGTTTCTTGTTTAAGAGGAAGTAGATGGCGAGGATGTGGCAGGCGCGGTTGGAGAGCACAGTGTTGATCACGTCGCTGTTCTTGTAACCCAGCTTCTCTGTCATGTGAAGCACCACACTCGGGCTCAGGTCCTCCAGGGAAATCCTGCACAGTAGAGAGAGAACCGGTCACTTCTCCACGGCCACCGAGAGGTTCTGGATCCTCCTTAGTGGGGTCACAAACATGGCGGCACAAAGCACAGCCCCCCTCCCCATCCCAGGCCCTTGGAGACACTCAGACCTGTTCATTCATTCATTAACTCATTCATTCTTTCGCTTGGCTTTTTGTGATGAAGAATTTCACACAGGAAAGCCGAGGGAACAGTATAAATACCCTTTGTGCACCCAACACCAGAATATACCGCTGTTAACACTTGGCCATATTTTCTTCCTTTCTTGTTTATTGCTTATATTTATTATACATATATATATATATATATTGTCTATTTACTGCCTATTTATTATTATCAAGTATTTTGAATCACACACATCATGACATTTCATTCCTAAACACCCCGGTGTGCACCTTTAAGATCCAAGGGCATCTCCTGCAGAATCACAATACCGTCCACACACCCAACAAAATTTTAATAATTTCTTGGTGTTCTCTAATATCTGGATTATATTCAGATTTCCCCAATTGTCCCCAAATTTGTTTACACTTTGGCGTTGCTTTCTAAAAATGTACTTCTTGGACACGGGTGGAGCCTACACTTGAGTTGGGTGTAAGGTGGGTTAGGAAAGGAGTGCCTTCAGAAGCCAATGCAGATGGTGTTTAAAGAAGCACCAAGAGCTCCCACATTCACAAATAAGAGTCTGGGGCGCGGCTGTAGGGTACTGTTATTTTCCCCATTTTACCAATGGAAGAAACTGAGGCCCACAGCTATGAAGTAACTTGCCCCGGGTCACATAGGCAGGAAGTTGCAGCCCCACAATACAAACCCTGACAGCCTAGCTCAGACTCTAGATGCTAAACCTCTACACTCACCAGCTCTCAAGTAAACAGATGTGTCAAATGGCTGTGGAGAACACGAAAGCAGGCTGAGGAATACAGAGTGTATGTGTGTTGGTAACAGGTACATCATCAAATAGAACTTTCTAAATCCCTTAAGAGAGATACAGATGGGGCACTCTGAGCAGAAGGAAGGCACATCTGGCCCGAGAGCTCTGTAACCCACCCCTCACCCCCAAGGGTCTGAAGACATTTTTTTATGGGACTTCAGACCGTAACACCCTGAGAAACCGCACAGGACAACTCCACACTGGGATACAGAAGAGGAAACTGACTTGCCAAATTCACAAGCCAGCTGAATAGGGCAGCAAGGGCAGACCTAGGTCTGCTGACCATCTTCCACCACCCATCCATGTAACCTATGACAGCACTCCCTCGCTAGATATGAGTAAGTGCCATCCAAAGAAAACAGGCCCAAGGAACCATGAAATCCGCCTTCCTCGCCCTGTTGGCCATAAAATCACAAATTCTAGACCACAGTGGTGGGGTGGAGAGCGGGGAGTAGAATGACTACTGGTAAAAAATAACTTTTGTTAAAAAAATAATACTTCTGAAGTTTGCCAAAGCACTTACTAACGCCGAAAACTCCATTGTTGGCAACTTCCCAGTAATGTCTGCACGGGAGTGACCCTGCTCCTGGCCAATCAGATGACTGCCGTGTGCCTAGTCCTTGGCCAATCAGACCACAGCCTCATGGCCTTGCCCCTGGCCAATCAGATCAGGGCCACGCAAGGTGCCCCTGGCCAATTGACCCAGCAACACCTTGGAAGCCTGTTCTCCCCAGGAGCAAGCAGGGGAAGGGAGAGCTCTCTAGGAGAAGGGTGGAGGTGAAAAGAGGGCAGTAAACATGGGCAGGCACTCCAACTCTGCCCTTCATGTCCACTGTCTTCAGAAATAGGAGAGCTCTGCAAAAAGACACTGCTGACTCTCTTGATTGAAAGTACTATTTTTTTTTTTTTTTTTTTTTTTTTTTTTTGAGAGGAAGAGAGAGAGCGTGTGCATGCATGGAGCCCCAGATGGGGCTCTATCTCACAACCCTGGGATCATGACCTGAGCCGAAATCAAGAGTCAGATGCTCAACCGACCGAGCCACTCAGGTGCCCCTATTTTAAACATGTTCTGGGGCGCCTGGGTGGCTCAGTCGGTTGAGCATCCGACTTCGGCTCAGGTCATGATGTCGCAGTCTGTGGGTATGAGCCCCGCGTCGGGCTCTGTGCTGACCGCTCAGAGCCTGGAGCCTGCTTCCGATTCTGTGTCTCCCTCTCTCTCTGCCCCTCCCCTGCTCATGCTCTGTCTCTCTCTGTCGCAAAAATAAATAAAAGCATTAAAAAAAAATTAAAAAAAAAAACATGTTCAATTAGTGGCATGTATATTTGGTATTCTGCAGCATCAGTTATTTGTATCATCTCCTCCTTTTTGGGCAATACAGTCACTAGTCAAACGTTCTGGAACACTAGGTGCAATTCTAAGTAAATTCTCATTAAATCCCGTGTTAGACTGCTTTGGCCCAATTCCTTCCTGTGTTACCCATGACCTCCTTCCCCTCCCACCCATCTGCAGAGCTAACTGGAGGGGTGGGAGACTGTCCAGGCCCCAGAAGGAAGATGGAGGAAAGCAGCCAAGGTCACCTCCATAAAAATATCTGCTCCCAGAAAAGGGAGGCTAGCCTGGCACATGGCAAAACTGCTGATGGACTGGCTTGAATATTTATTATAAAAAGTGTACTTTTATACGTTTAAATTGTAAATATACAATTTAAAGATATTTTCCTCTTGTCTTTTGGAGATCAACTTGGAAGCCCAAATGACATAACAAAAGGCTTTACAGAAGAGTGATACAAAACGTAAGCCCTTTATTTTATCCATTTCCCAGAAGTAAAACCCTTTTTTTTTTTTTTTAATTTGAGGGAGGTGAGCATGACAGGGGGAGGGCAAGAATACAGGAATCATGGGCTCCAGACTCCGAGCTGTCAGCACAGAGCCCGACGTGGGGCCCGAACTCTCGGACTGTGAGATCATGATCTGAGCAGTGGTCTGTGGCTGAGCAAACACAAGTAAAACACTTTTAACAACATCTAAAATAATAAAATCTGAGGCTAGGTATGTTGAGAAGCTGTAAAATATACTTTATAATAAAGCCTATATTCCTTTCCCTGATCACATGTTCTTACTCCATTAACCTGTGTACTGGTCAAACCAGAAAAATAACTACCAGGGGCACCTGGGCAGCTCAGTCAGTTGACCGTCCGACTTTGGCTCAGGTCATGATTGCATCGTTGGGGAGTTCAAGCCCCGCCTCAGGCTCACTGCTGTCAGCGTGGGGCC